TAAACCCTTACCACACTCTTGCAATATTCTAAACAATGTTTCTAAACTCTAAACGCTCTAATAGAGCACAGCATGTCATGATTTCAGCTCTCTGCCTTGGCTGCTCTTAGCCACCTGCAAGCGTTCTTGGCCACGCCCACTTCTCCGCTCTGCACGGAGATCAGCTGATCAGCTACAGGAAGAAGCTTTTTCTGCGGCTGTGGGTTGCAAAAAAGGTGCAGCAGGTGATAAATAATTTTAAATAATTTATTTTAAATAAAAATTCCATGCCTATCGTGCGGCTCATCCATCAATCAGCCAGTTGTGCGTCATGTCCAATCTTACTTTGAAAAACTGTGATAGAGCGAGTCCGCAAAAACCAAACCGCGAAGTAGCGAGGGACTACTGCACAATAATTGTAATCCCAAGAGGATATAAAAATTTTTATGTAAAATTAATTTCAGAGTATAAGAATAAAAGACAGTGTTTCTATGATACAAAATTCTTAGTTAATTTATTAATATTTAAAGTAAAAAAATAAAAAATTGTGTAAAGTGCTGTACATTGCGTATTTATACACAGGGACACAAAAACAATCATGAAGGAAACAGTCCAACAACAATAATCAAAAAATATGAAAAATAAAAAAGGACAGTAAAACAACATCATTTCTGTCATATATGTATCTGTGAATTAACTCTTTTAAATTTGGGTGATATCTTCATACAAAGTACAACTAGACATAATTTTTGTTTTAAAAAAAAGAAGAATACCAAAATAGGTCCAAACGTAAAGTTAGCTCTTGTGTAGATTTTGTTGACGTTTTATAGCCAGTATGTATTAAAACCAGGAAGGTAAAAAACTGATCTGGTTTCAACAAAACCACTTTTATGATTTCAAAAAGACAGACATCGTCACAGACACCATTGGTTATTAAAGCAAAACCACACGTAATAATTTTTAAATTAAAAGAAAACAACAGCAGTAAAGTAAGTGTTTCATTTTCTGCACATATGAACATGTTTAAAATAAAACCATCAATGATTAATTGCAGTCTAGAACATCTGCTCTTATTCAGATACTGCATTACAAAAATATAACCCCAAACAGGTTTAATTTAGGCTTTTTACATTAGTTTAGTTTTATAATTAAGGTTAATTTTGAGACCATCCTTGATATTAATAATTAAATCAGGGTTCTTTACAATGTCTCTCAACTTCTAGAACGAGTGAGTATAAAAACTTAAATATACACAAGGACTTTGTTGTAAACACTGTACGTCCAGGTATGTATCAAAATGTCAATAAACCAAATAAAAAAACACATTTTCAGTGCATTCAAATGGTAAGAAAAAAACAGTTTAAATTTACATTTATAATTGTTTGTGTTTAAACTTGAATTTCAGCCTCCAAAAGACTTGCAGTGAGGGGCCCTGAATCAAGTCTGATCCCTCCCACCCCAGTGTCTGAGACAACCGGTGAGGCGTTGGGGGTCCGGACAGTGAGAGAAGACAGTGATGGGGAGAAAGTAGGCGTCATAGCCGATGGGGTAAGTCCTGTGTTTCTGGCTAAGGGTGAATAAGCATATTTTGGATAGGAGGACTTCCTGCTCAGGTTTGGCATTCGTCCTGGTCTTCTTGAAGGAACAGTCCTAATGCCAGGCTGAGCCACTCCAGTTATTAGAGGCGGTGGGTACATCAGACAGCTTGACTCTGCTGCTAAGTCCTCTTGGCCACCTTGAAGCTCCTCGTCAGGGAGCATACTTATGTCGGTGAATACAGAAGCCAGAGCTTGGAAGCGTGGTTCCCAGCCTAAAAGGTAGTCCCAGTGGTAGCTGCCTTGCAGCTGCTCCTCAAGATAAAACAATGAAGACAGAGAGTCTGCACGAGCTTGGGCTTCAGAAAGTGGTGCATACCCTTTTGTCCCCATGCTCTCCTCTAAATCTTTCACTCTAAGTATTGCAGGAAGTAATCCTTCCCCACCTCCCTCCTCTTTGAAATGGTGGAGACTTTCTATGCTGGACATTCCTGTGGCTAAACTTTTATTAAATGATATAATGGGTTCTGATTCTAAATTGACAGAGTGGCAGGAAATATCTCCTGGTAAGGTAAAGTTTGGATTTTCTGTGGTTTGTTTGTCAAACTTGTCTTCTTTACAGCAGGGGTACTCATTAATCCATTTGATTTCCTGATCTTCAGCTGTCTCTCCTTCTGCTGACCCACGACCGCTAGAGTCCGAGTGACTGTACTGGTTTAAGTTGTCCCTCTTTGTAGTCAAGAAGCTGCCCTGTGTTAAATCTCGCAAAGATATAGTGCTTTGCATTTGTCCATTGGATTCATCAAATGAGCCACTACTATGGTTCACGTGTGGAACAATAGCAGCATTCTTGCCAAGGGTAGATTCTTTACTTTTAAATTTGAAAACCAAACCCACAAAAATGACGAGGACAAAAAGGAACAAGAGCAGTGCGACACTCAAACTAAGCACGTGTGACTCAAGTTGAACCCCGATAAGTGCGTCAGATGACCTGGAAATATTTACAAAAACAAGGCAAGTTGTAGTCCTGGAACCCAATTTGGGACTTCCTGCAGACACAATCAGTTCCATCATGCCCCCCTGGCTGGTATGGCTTCCTCTCCTGTGATATACAGGACCTGACACAAAGATGGCACCAATTGTTTTATTAATTGAGAAAAAAGGCACTGAATTTAGGAGTGAGTACTCTACCAGTCCATCCACTCCTCTATCATGGTCCATTGCCATCACATAACCAATAGTATCACCAGACTCTACATTTTCTGCAAGGAGGAAGTTGTACTGCTTCTGAGTGAAGATGGGACTGAACTCATCCACTCCCTTAATGCTCATTTGAACTCTCACTGTCGCTGTTTTGTCACCTTTGTCTCTGGCCTCCACTACAAAGCAGTACTCGCTGTCACGTTCATAATCAAAGGTTTGTCTGGTGTGGATATCTCCTGTAAGGGGGTCAATGGCAAAAGCCTCCTTCCTCTCTGGGTTGCCACTTCCGTAGTCCATGAAGCAAGAGGACAGAATAGAATAGGTAAGCTGGCCATATGGACCTAAATCCTTGTCAACAGCATGAACAGAACATGTATGAGTAAAAGCTGGGAGGTTTTCAAGCACTGAACAGTTCACTGTAGGGAACATGAAGTATGGAGTGTTGTCATTCTCATCCAGGACTTCGATGAAGACAACTGTAAAAGCCATTTTATGGTTTTCAGATGCATCACCTCCATCTGAAGCTCTGATGGTCAGAGTGTACTTTAAGTCCTGCTCATAGTCAAGTGAATGGTTGATTACCAAAACACCTGACTGAGAGTCAAGTTTGAAGTGACTTTTTCCATTCCCAGAAACAATGTCATATCGCACAAGGCCATTGATTCCAAGATCAGGATCCTGAGCACTGACCTGGACCAGAGTGGTACCTATCTGGCTGTTTTCACTCACTTGTGTGTGGTACTCTGTGCTGGAGAAAATAGGGCAGTTGTCATTGCAGTCTGTAACGGTCACTTTGATGACAGCCGAGCTGTTCAGTGGAGGCGTTCCTCTATCAGAAACAGTAACTGTTAGTTCATAGCTCTCAGTTGTCTCACGGTCTAAAGGTTGACACAGCACAAGCCTTCCTACATTTGCCATTCGATTTTCAATTAGTATCATTTTCACTTCCAAACAGAATCGTTTTCCCTCATTTCCACTGACGATCTCATAGTCCAGATGGGTATTTTCGGGGCTCCAGTCTCTGTCCTCTGCAGAAAGAGTAAGTAGGGTGGTGTCAGTGGGTGTGTCCTCAGGGACAGAAAGAGTGTAGACATCTTGATGAAACAAAGGTTCATGGTCATTGTAGTCCAGAATGTGGATGTTGACGGATGTGACAGTGGAGAGCACAGGATCGCCTCCATCTCTTGCCTCGACCAGTAGATGGATCGGGTTGCCGTTTGCAATTTTCTTCATGGGCTTGTTGGTGAAAACAGCACCTGCAATACCAAAATATGTATGAGTTACCTGATTCCAATAAGACTTCTGTGGAAATAAATCTGAATCTGGTTGGCTGTATAAGACTGATGGTTGAGGGAATCCCTAACATAAAGGACCCTACAGACAAGTGACTGTTTGGGGCCCAAACATTACTTTTAAATTCATGACATTGACAAGTTTTCTATTCTTGCCAGACACTTGTACAGTTTTAAATCACTTCTCTTTGAACATTAGACAAACTTCTGTTTTGTTGGCTGAAATTACAGTTATTTCTGTATTACAAATTATTCCAAAATTCTTTTCTTGTAAAAATAATAACTGTAACACAGGCTTGCATGCTCCAAGAGCCCTGCATCAAGCCTGCCATGGTCTGTACATACTGTATCTCGGTACAACATTGCATCCTCTGTAAATCTTTTTTAAATTAATTCCATATGTGGAGTGCAGGAGTAATTTTCTTGTTGGATGGCATCAAAGAGTTTCCTCAACCAATTTTTTATTCCACTTCAGCTTTTGTACATGATGATCATATGCCTCCTGAAGCAGTATCATCCACTGAGAAATATATAAATATGGAATAAATAAATAGATAAATGGAGTTGCTGCTCCAAAGAAAGTACTAGATTACATGTTGGATGTTAATCAGGAATGTTTAGATATCATCCATGCAAATTTCCTTTGGAAATTTAATTTGATATACAGGGGAAATCATAATTATCCTAAAAATAGTATGGTCAAATTTTCCTCTACATATCAGTTTTAGGGCTCAAACATAAAGGGAGACAACAAATCACTCCTAATTGAAAAAGCTGAACCAGACTGAGGAGAGATGGTTAGGTTTCTGCCTTGCAGCAGTTATCTTATTTTTGTGACTTTGAGATAACAGCACAGTTATGGGTTTTGCTACATCCCATTGACTTCTTAAGTGTTTTCATTTTTTCTGTCTGCTGATTTTCTCAAAACTTTAAAACATAAACAATACGAAAAGTTCTTCTGCAGAGGTTTAATTCTGAATAACTTGTGATGCTGAATATTGAGCTGCTCAAGCTGTAGTTTTCTCAGTGTCCTTTCAACGAGGCTTGAGATGTGAAGCATCGTAAAGGCCTGTTGTATTTGTGGCATTATTCTCCTCGCAAATGAATTTCGCTTTTACGCAGTGGTGTAGTCTACGTTTTTTAGTGGGTACTGTGCTTAGAAACCAAAATACACCAGTTAGTACAATGTAATCGTCAATTTATTTTGATTTTTAAGCATATTGAACATTTTCAATTTTCTCTGTTGCTTATATTTGAATTAATGCACAACAAACTTTGTACAATACTTGGCTTTGTATTAAAAACATCCATTATCTTTTATCCACTTCTTCAGTTTTGGGTCACGGGGGTCGCCAGTGCCCATGTCCAGCAATCACTGTGTGAGGGGCAGGGTACACCCTGGACGAGTCACAAGTCCATCACAGGGCATCATAGAGACAAACAACCATTCACTCTCTCACTCACACCTAGGGACACTTTAGAGTTACCAATCAGCCTAACATGTTATAGAATTTATAAAACAGTATCAAAGCAAAACATGTTCAAATATTAAGTAGTAAATACAGAATTGTACAATAATTTGCTGGATAAGAGAATGTAATAAACAAGTGCTGCATACAGAAAAAGATTGTTACGGAAGTGTTTAATTGCCTTTTAACGTATCAATGACATGTGCCCAATGATATGTCACACATCACTGGGCACTTTTAAGTTGGTATACTGAAATTCTTAAGCTTTTCTAGTGGGTATACTCCGTATACCTGCGTATCATGTAGACTACACCACTGAGGCTTAAACATACCCCCAAATTGATCAAATTTTTCTTAAGCATTAGGAATGAGAAGAATTGTCATATTTTATGGGTTTTAGTGGATGAGTGTTGTAAACTGGCTCCACAGCTCCCCCATTTCCAAATGATATTTTTGAACAAAAATTAAATTTGGTATACCATTTTCTTTGATGGATGGCCTGAATCCAACTAGACATTGCCCATTGTAGATTAAAGACACAATTTTTGGCATTTTACACACTTTGTATTTAAACAAACTCTAGAAATCTAGGCATGTCGACTTCACACCTTTGTCTGTCTAGAAATGATCAACATCTTATTCTGACTAACAAACGCATGCCAGCACATGAACTCATAAACATATGTGCAAGTTTTTCATCCTTTTTTTTTTTTACCAGTGTCTTGTTGGATGTAGAAGCCTTGAAGAAGAGAAGAGAGTAGTCTGTAGCTGATGTTGCCATTGAGTCCCGAGTCCTTGTCTGTAGCAGCGAGAGACACAACTACCACGTCTTCTGCGACCAGCTCTGACAACTCCACCTTAAAGAGAAAACGATGATTTAGCTTGCTGCAAAAACGCAACATACCATCATGGAAAAACTTTGACCATTTTAATATTCTGAGGCCATAAAATCAGTATCTTATAATAAATAATCTGGTCTTATCCAAGTATTACTATTCACTAAAACAAACTTTTTCAGATAAACAACAGATAATACATTACATTATCCTATTTATTTATTTTTAACCAAAACTAAGTCACAATGCAAAATAAGTGCTATAAGTACGATTATTCTTTTGAACTTTTCTTTTTTAAGAGCGAGATTAAAAAAATATTGCTCTACCATTTAACATTCTAGTAATAATTATGAAGTTGTAGATCAATAGAAGTGTAAAAACCTAAAAACTACATTTTATCAATTTTCTATTCATTCTGGAGGATAAATATATTATTTGTACCTGATAGGAGGCCTGTGTGAAGACAGGAGCGTTGTCGTTGACATCAACTACATGAACTTTAACCTCTCCGGTGGTCTGATGGAGCGAGTCGGACCCCCACACTGTTAGATTGTACTCCGTTTTTAACTCAAAGTCCAAAGCCCGAGTCAGGGTAATTGCTCCGGTGTAGCGGTCAATAGCAAAGGCATCGCTGGTGCTGCTGTTATCTGAAAAGCTGTAGGTGATGGTTGAGCCCAGGTCCACATCATTCGCAGTCACCTGAGTGACAAGATACCCCGCTGGTAGATCTGGGGAGAGAATGGCTATTTTTTCTTTCAAAAAGCTTGGAAAGCAGGGATGTGAGAGGGTTTAGACTTACTTTCAGCTATGAACACAGGCTCCATTGGGGGAATAACCGGGCTATTGTCATTGATGTCCACCACTTGGACCCTAACGACAGCAGTGCTGCTGAGAGATGGTTTGCCCTTGTCCACAGCCTTCAGAACCAGCCTAAGATAGAAAAGAAGCAAAAATATGATGCTGTTCATCCATCTGTATATATCACAGATGGGTTTTTACAGCTATATGACAGAAGAACATGTGCAAGCTCAACTCCTATACTTTCAAGTACCTAACAGAGCTTCGGTTGTATCTGCAACAGAAGTATATTTTATTTTGCTCTGATTGTAGTCAGATGACTTATTCCCGAAGAAAAGATGAAAAAAGCATGGCCTACTCGATTAGGATCAAAAACATATACGTATGAAGTCTGTAAAACTCTTCATGCTTATTTACAGTGTATAGATTATATTATACGCACTGGATTTAGCAATTTATCACTCCTATTTTTAAGAGCCAAGAAAAAGTCATTACAAACTGTGGTGAAATAAGAACCAAATGGGGGAAAAAGTTTTAGGAAGCAGTCAGACGAAGAAAGAACCAATTTAATAACAGAACAGAGAAGACCATAACAGAGAAAGAAGATGACAAGAGTTCTACAAAGAACAATAGGAACCGACTGTATGCTGAGGGAAATAAGAACTGAATGTAAAGCAGGTGTGGCAGAGGAAGCCGAAATTGAAATTTCCAGAACTTACAAATACCCACACAAGAGGTAAAGCTAACTAGAACACTAATAACATGAGTGAATTTCATGAGAAAAAGCTGAGTAAAGAGCAGGAGGCACAAAAAACTAAAAACAAAAAACAAATCTGAATATCAATCCATGGCACCAACAGACAAAAAGGCAAAATTCACTGATCGTGACAAAGAAACAACATGTTTTAAAGATGAAGAACAAGTCAACAATGCAACATAAGGTTTTACATACACTGTCACTGAGAGAAAAGTTTGACAAACCAAATTCAAATTTCTCCACTTATACTTGTAGCAGATATATAAAAAACCCTACTTTATCTCAGTTACAGAGCTAATTCCCCAAAAATCTGACAAAGCATTTTCCCTTTTCTACAAGCTTTGAAGAGCAGTACAGAACAAGGAACCATAAAGTTAAAACTTGTCTCACGCCTGCTCATAGTCTTACAGTTGACTGAAATCAGAAAGAGAGGCACTGGTCTGCAGGTCTCAAAATGACCCGACACAGAAACATCAACAGCAGTACATATTACAACTCGTTACTTGCAGGATACAATACCTGAAAGTACAAGGTAACAAGTCACTTCATAATACAGCCCAGTCTCCAAAGATAACAGGTACATACTAGGTATGTACCCAGTAGATACCAGGTAAGTACCAGGTATGTACCTGGTACATGCCCTGCAAGAACAGGGCATAACATCTCTTCATAATATAGCTCAGTTCCTGTGTGGTACCAGTTATGTACTCAGCATCTGTCTGCTTTATGTATGCTCTGACTTATGTAAGGTTAACAATAAGACTTTTGGCTAATACAGTAATTCTTATAATTCATTCTGATATTCACAATACATCAGTAATTCTGATACTACACTTATGAAAACAATTAATTATGTGTGTAATATTGCTTCTTCTATTTTGGCATTACTTTGAAAATCACATCTATAAATACTCTGTATGCAGTAAGTTTATTTAATACTTTGCTAGTTGAACCTACTTGTACGAAGGAGTGATCTCACGATCCAGTAAAACGTTGGTGGCAAGGATGCCTCTCACAGAGTCCAAAACGAACGGTTCGTTAGTGTTACCAGACAGGATGGAGTATTCAATATGTCCGTTCACACCGCTGTCAGCGTCAGATGCAAACACCTGCTCAAAATACATGAAATGATCAGCATCAGAAGATTCACCGTTCAAACCCTAACAGTAACTGAAACCATGGTTGATCTGTGTTTCAAGGAGATTTTTAAATGTTGGAGATGTACCTGCATGACGTAGGTGTTGCGCACTTGCCCCTCCCAAACAGATGTTCTGTAGCTGCTGTGTTCAAACTGTGGGGCGTTGTCGTTAATGTCCAGCAGGGTGACGATAACCCTGCAGTGAGCTGTCTGCATCCCGCTGTCGGCCAGTACAACCAGCTGGATCTGAGGGCTAGCTTCATAATCTAGAGCGTTATCTTTCTGCACTCGGATCTCACCTAAATCAGGAGGAAGCAAGATGGTAAACCAAAAAATAGCTTCCACATCAACATCAGACAGGATAATGCATGTTTTAAGGAGGAACTGGTTTTAAACTGACAGCTTTAGTAACAGCGAGTTGCTTCTGCTGCTAGCGGTTGGAAATAACCACAGAATTCTGTATTATGTACTTAATATAAATGCTATTCTGCTGAAGCTAGTAATTAATGTTTAGTCATTTACTAATAATTACTAACTAATAATTAATGTTTTACTGCAAACTTTACTAATCTATATGAGTAAAGTGAAATCCTACAGCTGTAACTGAACAAGAAAAGATCGAGAGTAATGTGTTTATTACCTGTGTGACGGTTCATGGAGAAAACGTGATTCTCGTTGCCACTAAATATGGAGTATGTGATTCTTTGTCTACTCTTTGTTTCATCACTGGCCTCCACTTTCACAATCAAAGTGCCTTGAGAAAGAGAAAGTGACAGAGTGTGCTGAGGTTTCTCATGAATTTTAGTTATAACAGAACGCAGGTGATACAACGTACCTGTTCTGCTGTTTTCCTCGACCGTAGCATTGTACATTTTGTTTGTGAACTGAAGTCCATCATGTTCTCCTTTCAGATGGATGAAAACCAAGCAGGTGGAGGTCAAAGAAGGAAGGCCTCGGTCTGAAACCACCACCTGCAGCTTTTTCCCAGTAAAACTTGCTCTCACTCGTCTTCTCAGTGAGATTTCTCCTGACTCTGTGTTTATGTCAAACAGATTTTCCTCATCGGATAACATAAACTGCATCGTCCTGTTCTCGCCCCGGTCGTCATCTGTTGCCACCACAGTGGCAACTATCTGGTTTGGTGGAGTCTTTGTGGAAACCCAAGTGTTGAAGGGATTCTGGTCACAGACTGGCAAGTTGTCATTCACATCCTCCACTTGTATAGTAACCGATGCCACGGAGCTCAGTGGTCCCAGAGCGCAGCTATCTGTGGCCACAGCTCTGAGGGTGTACTGAAAAACACTTTCTCTATCCAGAGGTCTGGTGGTGCGGATCAATCCAGTGTAGATATCCACTGAAAAAGCCCCGTGGCTGCTGTCTTCAGTCAGTGAGTAGGTCACATCCCCGTTAGGCCCGTCATCAGGATCAAAGGCATTAACACGTAGGACCTCAACTCCAGCAGGTAAACCCTCGCTGATGGAGGCGTGGTAGCTCTCACTGCTGAATGTGGGGACGTTATCGTTCTGGTCCAGCAGCACCAGATAAAGTTGGGTGGTGGAGCTGAGTGGGGCTGGACCACAATCTTGGGCCTGAATAGTGAGAGTATAATTCTGTGCTTCCTCACGGTCAAGAACCTGTGTAGTACTGACAGCCCCGCTGAGACTGTCGATGGTGAATCGACCTCTGTAATCCTCACCTAGAAGCAGTGAACAGTGATTAAGTAATAGGGACTAAATAAATATACAGCATTGTTTTAATAAGTTTAAACTCAAAATGCTGCAAAGAAACATGGCAATAGTTCTGGTTCTCTGTAATTGAGAGTTCTTAATAAGAATGGTACAGTGGAATGTCATCTGCATAAATGGGTAGGTGTTGCTAAATTTATTACCATTTTGTCTTAGAAGAACAGAATTGGTAACAACAGAACCTTGAGAAACAAGTCAGTGGTTGATGTAATCAGGTTTGTTCGAACACTGACACTTTTTTCAAAAAATATGATAGTTCTGGGGAAGTATCTAAAATCCCAACAAAATCCTGAATTAAATATATTAAAGTTGAGCACAAAGGTGCTCAACAATATCTAAAGCTGAGTTAAAATCCATCAAAATCTGAACCGTAAACTCTACAGGGACTGCAATTCATTTAATTTAATTTCAATTCAATTCAATTCAATTTAGTTTATTTATATAGCGCCAAGTCACAACAGAAGTCATCTCCGGGCACTGAACAGAAACATTCATATACATAAAAAGTAAGTTAGCATTATGCAAACAATGAATCTTCTTGATACACCAAAGTTAGTCTTGAAATTCCTCAGGGTTCAGTGCTTGGACAAATACTCTTTACCTTATACAGTATATGCTTCCATTAGCTAAAGTTATTAAACAGCATGGGATAATTTTTCATTGTTATGCTTATGATACACAGTTATATTTGTCCATGAAACCCAATTTATCCAATCAGTTACTTACACTGCAGCCAACATAAATAATGTCAACAGTTTCAGTAAAGTGCATCTTTCAAAACCTATATTGAAATGAATCAAAAAAGACTGAGTTGCTTCAGATATACCAAATAGTTGCTAAGTCTCTACTTTTTCCAAGATAGCTGGATAGAATTGACTTTGGAAAAGGCTACTAGCTCAGTCCAGCAGTGTGACGACAATATTTGGCTGTTTGGAATCGCCCCTGAGACGTACCTGCAGAACTCAAGAAATCAAGCAGAGTCTGCCTGACCCAAAACAATTGTGTTATCTGAAATGGGCTTCCCAACTCAGCCTTGATTCGGCCAGCTATCTCAAACTTTTCCTGGTAAATGTGAACGAGAATCTCTGCCTCCCCAATCGCTTCCCTCCCGAGGACATCTGTGGATCTGTGTCAAAGTTGAGCCGGCTGATAGACACTGTGCCATCTTATCAGGACTATGGAACTTTCTGGCAGTCCACGAACAACTCACTGCCCTTGTTGGCCTCCTCGTGCATAAATGGATTATGATGCTTATTATGTCTGCTGTTTATGTGCAAGGTCTTTTTTTTTCCAGCTCTCACACTGTGCCCTGACCAGGACATAGTGTGTGATACAATTGTTTTACCTCCCTTCCCCCTCATGTTTTCTCTTTTCCTTACTTATTTCTGTTTGTCTGCCTAAAACAGGTCTCACTTGTAAATGAGTCTCCGAGGCTCAATGTGATTAATCTGTATAAATAAAGGTTGAATGAAAAAAATTAAATACTAATATTTCAATGAAATAAAAGATAATTTAGAATAGATTCTGATGAGTCTGTGTTTTTTCAGTTGAACTGAATCCAATTTTGTTTAAATATAGGTTCACTTTTTTGATAAAGCTTATGTATATGTATTGTACATACTGAACTGATAACAATACTGTATTTAAACAACACAAATGACATTCAGAAACTCAAGAAAATACTTCCTCAGTAGGAATCTGATTCCCTCCTTGAGATACTGAACTGCATACGGGCTCCTTACCTAATATGGAGTAGTGTATGGTGCCATTTTCTCCGTAGTCTGGGTCAGAGGCCTGAGCTGTGTGTATAACTCCAGGAGGGAGGTTTTCTGGCAGGCTGATCTGTAACGAAGACTGCATAAACTCTGGTGGGTTGTCATTGTGGTCCAGCACGGAACACAAGACAGTGGTTGTCCCTGAAAATGGCCGAGCGCCGCTGTCACGAGCCTCCACTGCAAAACACGAAAATCACAAATGATGCAACACCAAACATTTTCCATAAAATGTTGAAACTTAAATATTATCTCAACTTTTAAAGCATGTGAAAAAAACACCACCACCATTTAATTTAATTTAATTTAATTTAACCATTTACAAGATTCTTGAGTCTTCCTTCATTTCTTTTATATTTTGCTTCCAAGAAGCCATCATTTTTTACAGTGCTTTAAACTGGTCTTGAGTTTTGGTCTTGAATTTTTTTTTCAGGTTTTCTGAAGCCATTTCACTCATTTGAAGACTGAGTTCTGAAGCTAATTAAGTTGGCATGTTATATACCTCAGTGTACCTGCAGCAGTGAATGACAAACTGCAACAGAAACAATTCAACTCTTGTTCAGATCCGAGAAACAAACACAAAAGATTGCCTATGCTGATGAAAGATTTAAGGCACATGATATATTCAGCAGCAGCAAAAACAGAACCCCCCCAAATATATATATATATATATATTTAAAAAAAATCAACATTAATAAATGTTGAAAAACAGTTTGGTGTTTTGTTTCTTTCCAAATCCTTCTGCTGCCAGAGATAATTGTCTCCACATATTTCAGTTTCCCGAAAACTCTTGTGTGATTTTGGCACAACTTCAAGACATTCAGGTTTTCCTGTCATTACATTTTATTATTGGATTTAATTGTTCATCACACGGGTGACCGTACAAATATTGTGATAAAACATCTGAAAGCATTTTTAATCACTAACCACTGCTGGATCAGGCTGAATATAATCACTGTGCGTGGCCACGTGAGAGGGAAAGCAAACACTGCAGAAGGCTAGAGGTGCTCCGGTGCAGTCGGAGGAGTCTGGATCGACTGCTCGGCCCTTTAAAGCCTTCTCTGACATAAATCAGTCTGTTAAATAACGTTACCCTCATGTAGAAGGCAGGAACTGAATTCTTTATGACTTAGGCTGTGAAGCACAGGAAGAAAAGTGGGCTGTGAATGAGAAACAGATCGGAATGGAGCGATTGAAATGACTACATCAAATGTTTTAGTTTTACTAGTTTTTTTAATAAAATATTATCTTTAAATGTCTTTAGAAGGAAACTAAAAATATGGGTTTGTTCTTATTGCTAGAAATCAAAGCTAAGAAGTGAATATGTGCAATAAAAGGATTCAAAAGATTTGATTGTTTATATCAGCAGGGACTGCCTTTAGGTGTAGTTTCACAAAGATAAAACAGACTAAACGAAACTAGATTGGAGTTTAAAACGTCGACGTTCATGCTCAATAATCCAGATAAAAAAATCCAACAAAGTTAAGATCCTTTGTGTTGAAATGTTTTGTCTATCATCCAAATGAAATCACCATCTAACTGGTTGGCCCACTATGTGAATGTGCTACTTATGGGACTGAGTTTGTCATGGCTCCTCAGACTGATGAAGTCCTTTGGATGAAAGATGAAACATTTCAACACAAAGAAACCGTCCAGAGGACCTGGCTTAACTTTGTTGGATAGATTTGGGTTTGTTTTTATGTGTAGAGGTCAAGGTATGAGCTTGGTTGTAAATCACTGCTTTATGAATGAACTGAACTGAAAGAAAATCATCTAGGAAATCATTTAATGACATGATTTTGATTTTCTTTTGTGGTTTGAATAGGTGATTGATGCGACTACTGCAGTTCAGATCTTTTTCAATAGGCATCACATCAAAGAGCCATCTATAACAGATTTCTGAGGTTATTTGCATGAACAAATAGCAGCAGCAACAGCAACATAATATTTATACTACAATACCCAGTAATCCAACAAAGTTAAGTCAGGTCCTCTGGACTTTTTTTTTTTTTTTTTTTTTGGATGTTTCGCCTTTCATCCAAAAGACTTCATAAGTCTGAGGAGCCACAACAAACTCAGTCTTATAAACAGCACCTCACATGATGGTGCTCAGATGGTTTCTGGAGTCCGCCCTCTCCCCCGCCAACTCGTCTGAGGCAGCCATGGCCAAAGTGGTTCAAAACATCAAAGTTCATGCTCAATAATCCAGGTAAAAAAAAAAATCCATCGAAGTTAAGTCAGGTCCTCTGGTTTCCTTTTGTTGAAAGGATGTGTAGGTGCTATTTATAAGACTGAGTTTGTTGTAGCTCCTCGAATTGATGAAGTCTTTTGGATGAAAGACGAAACGTTTCAATAAAAAATAAATAGATAAAAAAAACATCCAGAGGACCTGACTTAACTTTGTTGGATTTTTTTA